TATAAACTAGAAATAAGGGAAATCCAGCATTTTTTTGGGGGCTGGTTTCTGGGAGCAATGTCACAGTGGCTGAAGCATTACATTATGAAAGGAGGGTAAGAAATGTCATTTTAAAGCTGCTGAAAAGTTTCAGTCCGGAGTTGAGCTTTAACTGAAGTTGTGACACTTCTGGCATAGTGCTTTTAGGGTCCATTCACATCGGCCACTGCGCAAAACACAGCAACTGGTGTGCACTGCCCAACACAGTGGCAATCCTGGCACATTGCACTGTGTACTTCTTCTTTTTTTTTTCTTTTAGAACACAAGTGACATGTCATTAATTTCTACAGGCATAGTGGGTGGCGAGACAGTTGTTCCCGTGCTGAAAAATAGCCGGGCATGCCATACTTTTCCGTGCGCATCACTACATTCCTACCACAACGCAGTGGTGTGAAAGGTGTCCATCCAGGACAAGGTGAATTGCCTTGTCTTGTGTTGGGGTTGTGCTGAAAACAATGGCCACCGCAGCCCCGACACATGTGATGTAAATGGCCCCCTAGCTTGGCATTGTCAGTTGCTAATAGGTCCGTGGTTCTCAACCTGTGTAACCTTAGGACCCACATTTGTCCTTGGTCATTAAGCCGTGACCCAAGTTGCACTGCAATGTAATGCTCGGCATTGCGGTACTGCGAGTTCCGATGCGGCCAATAGAACTGTGGGCGGGAGGTGCGTTTGGGGTGTCATTCAAATGAATTGCAATGTACTTCTCACACCAGCACACGTGGTATTTGCGATTGCGTGGTACAGTGCGTTAATCGCACGGGACTGCGATGACGCACTGTACTAGTGTGAATGGGCCCTCAAAGACACACACAGAGACACAATCTCCCACACATACATACACCAATTTTTGTTTTTAAGCTCCACCCAGTCTCCCTATCTTACGAGAACTGGATCCTCAGCCTGGGGTCCGGTGTGGATTGCTGTGCTGTGATGGAGTTCCATCCATATGTGCATTGCTTGTACAACTCCCATGCACACCCTGTAGAGGTGGCGGGAGCCAGAATGTGATGGCACTCCTGTCCAGGCACCGCCTACAGGACATATGAGGGATCTGTAAGAAATGCACTTGGGGATGGAGCCCACCCCACCTCAAGCTGACACTCTGTACCGGGCAGCGTATTTTGAATGGCTGCTTGGCCTCTCACCTAGAAAAGTGGAAAGACTAGGTGACCCACTTTTGGGTCAGGACCCACCAGTTGAGAACCAAGGTAATGGGTGACATTTGGGCTTCCTATCGAGCTTCCATTAGTAGCAAATGTGCGCCCCTGAACTGAAATGGCTACTTAGATGAGGCATGGAGTGTTTTCAAGAATAAGCAGCTGTATAAACTGTTCTAGTGGCAGTAAGCTGGGAATGCGTTAAGGGAAAAAAAAGATTGCAAAGTATTCAACATCATTTCCTGTCCTATAACCAGTTTGGCTGGCAGAACAAAACAGTAAAGTCTAAACAGTGCTAATTGAGTATTGTATCATAGTGTGATTACCTTGATGTAATGTTACCATATGTTTTAGCTTTATAAATAGAATGCCTGCCTGCATTTCCTGGTTTAATAGCTTGCCCGGGCTATTGAGTAATGTGCACATGCAATGCGTTGGGTTTTTTTTTCTATAAAAGCCATCCTTTAACATACTGTACTGAAGAACTTTGGGGCGTGAACGTCGAGGTTCATGAACAAACTGGTTGAATGTTATGGAAGTCTTGAACTGTGCTGAGTGTCATGCCTTTTGTGATTGTTTGTTTTAAAGCTCTTAAAAAGGTGAAGGAGAGGTTGGGGAAAGGGAAGGGGCTGTTGCTCATAGCTTTGTTTTTAGCCATAGATTTTCTGGTTAGATCATTTTAAAATTGGCAGCTGGCTAGGTTTGTTTTTTTGTTTTTTAAGAAAATGTGTTCCCATTATTTTATCAATGCAGAAGGTCCCATGCACACAGGAATTCATACAGATGCAAGCTCTTGTCTAAATGCACCTGAAAGCATACTGTATAATGCTTTGCTGTGGCTGTGCACACCTAGACATATAACAGCGTGTCAGGTGCATTTACACAAACAAGAATTTTCTCCATCCTACGACCGTTTTTCCAGGCTTTACGTAACAAAATGCATTTAATTGCAGCTAAACCCCAGAACATCTAAATCCCGGAATAAGTGATCTGGGAAGCATAAAAATAGTTTAATGCAGGAGGTCTGTGTGCAGGGGGCCTTAATCTTACTAGTTATTAACATAATGGTCTGTCCCAAAACAATGTACTATTGCCAGTACACTATGAATTGTGATGCATTATAGAACTGAATTGATAGTGACACTTTCCCCCTTCTTTTTCTCTGTCATTGTTATCACATTGATCTTGACCAAAGTGATCTTGCTCTATTTAGAAAATATGGATTCCTGCCCAATAAAAGAGATGCCTAGCAGTTGCGGTGGTTGGAGAACTGTAGAATTGAAGTTTGTCAGGCATTGTTCTCATACTCTTGATTTTCAGATTTCAATGCAAAGCAGTTGTATGTTCATAACAGCTCTTATTGTGCCTCGCTCATGTGTTCTTAACCCCTTTTCATGGTTTTAAACAGATTCCATTTTATAGACTTGCAGCAACACACATTAGCTTTGTTCTGTGCTATTAATGAGTCACTGGGTCTAAAAAAAAAAATAAATAAATTTCCGATCAACAGCTGACTGATACACAAATGAGATACATTTTTGTTGTTTGTCCAGGTACTTAAATGCATTCAATTTAACTCCTGAGTTTAGTGTCATTTTAAAGTGTTAGCTGTAGCTCAGCCTTATTTATTAGTCAAGTCCATCCAAATTTGCTAGTGCATCTATCTCTACCCTCTCCCCAGACTGACAGTGTTGCTAGAGCCATCCTAAGAGAGGAAGGGTGTTATTGGCCGGATCACCAGGTGAAAATAAAGGAAAAAGCCTAATAGTGAATGCAGACACAGCATTTGGGATTGGTAAACACTAATATTCTAAATGTTTGTTTTTTTTTTTTTGTTTTTTTTTTTGTTTTAGATCTGCTTTAAAGAGGAACTTCACCCTTTTCTTTTTAAAAGTCCGAAATAGGGAAACACATTTAGGCAAATTGTGAAACGCACATATTCAAATATTTATACAAACACATGTAATCATGCATTCATAAACACACACATCATATACACTCATATAAAAACACACACATATCATACACATCATATACACATATCATACACACACATGACACACATTCAAAAAACACACTCAGTAAAACACACACCTACACATCACACACTCAATAAAATGTCCCCCTCTCCTGCTTACCTGTTTGGCAGGGAGAGGGCTTCATTCCTTGGGTTCAGTGGGGCACTTGGGGATTATACTGGTGGTCCAGTGGAGAATGAGTGTAATCTGCATCAGCCAGAGATGCAGATCATACTGATCCTCCACTGGACCACCAGGGGTTAGGGTTAGGATTTTCATTTAATGTGTTGCTAATTCTGCAATATATTAAATAGGGAATGGGCACCTTCCAGGTTTTAAAGATGGCTGCTACGAATTGCGGTGGCCATCTTTAAATGCCTTTTAATATGACATGGAGACCGGTGGGACACCGGAGGCAGTTTGGAGAGTGCGGGCTCAGGCAACCGACACTTAGCCTCATGTGCCACAGGTTTGCCATGGCTGGCCTAGAGTATTTGTGCATAATCCTACATTAGGACCACAAAACATCTTTAGCACACAGTTTTATCACCAATGTTCCTGCAATTTTACTTTAACTACCTTCCGTCCATGGCCGTTTGTGAACGGCTGGACGGACGTCAGCTAGGAGCGGGAGGGCGTCTTGAGACGTCCTGCCCCTCCCCCTTCTCGTGTGCGGCACTCAGCGCGCACACGAGAGGGAAAACAGTAAGAAGCTGAATCTCTGCTTCATCAGCTTCTGTGGGGGTCCCTAGGTGACATCAGAGGTCTTGGAGACCCCTGATGTCTCCATAAAGAGGACCTGTTTGGTGAATTGGCTATTACATAGGGGATTCCTTAGTCCCCTATGTTATAGCAATAAAGTTAAGTCTAAAAAAAAAAGTTTAAAAAAAATTACAGCATTAAAAAAAAATAAAGAAGCTAAAAAAATATTCACAAATAATAATTAAACAAAATAACACAAAAAATGTTTTAAAGTCCCCCGCCCCCCCCACATACACACGCAAACATGCGTCGGGTGCGTCTATGTACAAAAACGACGATTGCGCCCATTACGCCGCACATGTTACATATATCGCCGCGAACATCGAAGTGAGAACAATAAGTCTAGGGCCATCAATCACTGATGACACTAAACTGATGAGCGGTAAATACGTTTAAAGCGTCGCCTATGGCCAATTTTGGTTGCGGGAAGTTTTCTGCGATTTCGCGGGCGCGCGCAATTTTAAAGGTTGACATGTTTAGTGTCTATTTACCCGACGTGACCCCGTCTTTTATATTATACCAAAAAATTGGGGTGAAAAATGTTTCATAACATTTTATAGGGAAACATGGTTTTTTGTTCAAAATTTAGGGTACTTTTTTTGTTTTATATAGTAAAAAATAAAACCCCCCGTGGTGATTAAATACCACTAAAAGAAAGCTCTATCTGTCCCCAAAAAATGGTATGAAATTCCATGACGGAATAAACATCAGTCAAAGTACCGCAGCGCCTAATACTGAAAAATGTCCTGGCAGCAAGGGGGTGAAACACCATGGTCTTTAAGTGGTTAAACATGCCGAAACCCTTGACTTTCTTTGACCAAGTTGCACTGTCCGTTTTTGTCTTCTTTGAGTGGCTAACCGTTTACTAGTTTTGGATCTTAAATCTGTCATTGGGTATCTTCTTTTACACTATATTTTATTAGATATTTTATTGTCCTAATATTAGAGGGCAGGGAGTGGCTATTCAAGCATTTTTGGAAGCCTTTCATTAATGTTGGTATGTTTTTGTTTCTCTTTTCAGGAGCTGGCGAGTCAGGGAAAAGCACAATTGTCAAACAAATGAAGTAAGCCTCATTTTGTGTATATTTCTTCATGTGTAGTAACGTAGATTTATAATGTAGTATCCCTTCTTTTTACTTGTCTTCCATTTTGATTTTGAAGCCCTATAGTTTGATGTATGCATTTACTGTTTACAGGAAATGTATACATTCCTGCAGTGTGGTCATGTCCCTCCCATGCTCTGCAGATTAATTACTTGCCTTTAGTCCATGAGCTAACCATAATCTTTTTGCCACTGCACAACAGTTTTATATCATATGTATTGTTCATTACCTTAAAGTAGTACTAAAGGCTAATCGTTTTTTTTACCTTAATATACCTTTAAAGGAGAACTATGGGGTAAGTGTTTTTCCCCATAGTTCTCCTAAGGGTCACAGAAGGACACAAACTAGCGTCCCCCCGTTACCCAAAGCTCACTATATCGTGAACTACAGCTCGTGGTATACTGAGACTGCCGCAGCCAGGATGGATCTCGACATTACTGACGATCCCCACAGCTGTGTGATTGACAGCTGGCTCTGCCTACCTAGAGGCAGAGCCAGCTGTACCCGCCCCCTCCCCGTCCGTTCCACCAGTCAGCACTGGCGGGGAGGGGGGGAAATCACTGCAGTGAGTCGTGAGTGACAGTCACGGGCTCTCTGCAGGGACATGATCAAGAAGTAAACGAGCGACGTTATGTGTTCGCTCAGTTACCGAATGATTGAGCCGACGTGTGACAGTTTCATTGTCACACGTTGGCTCAAATTATGAGGTTGAGTGAAAATCACTCACCTCATGGTTCTCCTTTTAATAACCCTGAACTAATCCACCAGCACTGGTGATGCCTAATAATAATGTGGCTACAGCGTTAATGTGCACTTTTTGTCCTCTGTACCCTTGCAGCTAATAAAGGTGAAGTGAGAAAAGAAAAGTCACTTTTAACCCTTTCGCTGCCAAGCCCTCCGGAAACACCAAAATCAGTATCCGTGCACAAAATAAATTATTTTCTGACTAAATCTAAAAGATAAAACTGTATTGAGTTAATAAATAACAAATATTAGCAAATTTGTAATTGCGCCTTTTTGCGAAAAGGTAAAAAAATGAAGGTATGCAAAACTGTAATCGACTTATGTAAAAAATTGTTTTGGTGTTTGTGTTGTGATAAAATGTTACAGATGTATATTTAATTGCAACACAAGGTATCACAACGCATGGCAATGAGTCACAAAGCTTTGGCATGCGCTGCCACAGTTAATTGAATGGTTTTTTTTTAAAGAAAAAAATAAAGATCATGCACTGCGATGCGTTCTAACAACGCACTGCAGCGCATGTGCATGGTGTGCACCACTTAAAGGGGACAGTCTGCTGAACAGTTCTACTATAAGCTGATGGTCGCTAAAGCGACCATCAGCTTATAGTAGAACTGTAAATGCCAGGTCCGTACGGCATACTGAGCTGGCCAGCTGGAAGCACTTTTGTAGCTCTGTACGACGTACGTCCTTGGCAGCGAAAGGGTTAAAGAGATCTATATTTTTGTTACCCGTCCAGCACGATATTTAGACTGAGAGTAAAGGTTAGGTTAAGTCCTCTAAATTATATGGTTGATGCCATCCAGTACTGTGAAGAGAAATTCTTACAAATGGTATTGAAATGCTCGTTGGCTACATTTTGAATGGTTTATATTTTTGTTTCAGAATTATTCATGAAGCTGGCTATTCAGAAGAAGAATGTAAACAGTACAAAGCTGTGGTATACAGCAACACCATACAGTCCATTATTGCCATTATTCGAGCTATGGGCAGATTGAAGATAGACTTTGGCGATCCAGCCAGAGCCGTAAGTACCGGAAATTTGTTATTTCATTTTTGTGCTGGCTTTTGTGCTCAACTAGGTTGAATCACTTGTCAGCTTTCTATCCCCTTTGAGCCTCGTTTGCTATAAACTTCCCACTTTTTTGGACTTGGGCTCCTCCTTTATTGTATGTTACAGCTGGTCAATCGGGGGGTTGAAACGCATCACTTTGCTTTATAATGCTCATAGCTTTTGTACTGAGCTGGGAATTTTGCTGACAATAGTTTGTCTGTATAGTTCACAAAACTGTGAAAGAAACTTGCACGTGTTTCAGCTTTTTTTGGGGGGGGGGGAAGGGGGGTGTTTTTTAAAGCCTTTAAAGTAAAGCGGCCCATGCGTGTACTGAGAACCAAACAAGGGAAAAGCATTTGGTTCTCCACTGCTGGCTATTTTATTCAAGCAGCCGCATGAGCTCAGCTGCTTGAATTCCCGAACGGTGGCTGTTAACTGCCCGACTCCATTAATTTTTCAGTTGACGTTTGTCGATTGGGTGGGGCAGACAGGGCTTTCCTTATCTTGAATTTTCAACAGATTATTATTAATATACAGGATTTATGCATATTTAGCGCCAACAGTTTGCGCAGCGCTTTACAATATAAACTACTGTGCCAGAAATTTGAGCCAAGTCTTTGTATATTCAATATTTAAAGGGGCCCTGTCATTAACTTAAGAATTGATTGTAAAGCACAGAAAATCGGGTATATTAAATGCTAGTATTTTCCTTTCCATAAGGTTTTTACTCACTCACTTGCAAAGTGCCTTTTGAAGTTGCTAGAAAATCTGACTAGTCAGTTCACAAACATAGTCCCACCATAGCCTTCTCCTTTTCTGGGAGTCTCTCTAATTACAGTCTGTGCTTTGCAAGCTCCTTCCCCTCCCTATATAACCTTTTATGAGGCACAAAGTGGAGTATTTTATATAGAGTGTAGGGATGTTTAGATAGCAAGTACAGATACTTTTCCAGCTACTAGACTAGAGAACATTCAGACGTTCGGAGGCATTTTGAAGGAGCATACGGGGTTCCTGGGGTTTGTGCATCCCTGTTTTTAATGTATGAGTTGAGATGATCTCTCCCTCTCTCTCTCTCTCTCTCTCTCGCGCGCACTCGCTCCTACTATTCTTCACAGACCAAGTATCGATACTTGTCCAAGTAATACAGATTCAGCACTGATATTTCAACATCAGAGTGTCATTTGAATACCAGCTCTGAGTCCCCATCCACACCAGGGTGACAGTGTTTCAGTCATTTTCTGTTCATATGTCAGAGCGTTTTTAAGGCTAGTTTTCAGCTCAATTTTAGTCGCCCAATGAAAAGCCGCCTCGGCTGCAAAAAACGCGCTGATCAGCGTGTTTCCATTGAAGTCTATAGAGGAAAACAAGCTGATAAGCACCACAAAAGAAGCTCATGGACTATTTTAAAACAACGGGCTTATTATTATCTGCAATTCAGCACTTTTGGAATGCATGGGATTATGATTTGTATGCGTTTCAGTGCGGGGGAAAAAAAATGCGTGACGAAGCGCCTTGGTGTGAAGTGGCCTTGGTCTGCTGGGGAATCCACTCATGAGACTTTTACGGGTAGATAACATACATAAAAAACATTAAATACACATATAATCGTATGTGACAAATGTGGAAGTTAATCACCTGAAATTGGAAACTAATAAAAAAAAAAATGGCTCTTTATTTTGAAGGAGACTTCAAAGCAGTTTGTGCATATTTTCAGCCTGTCAGTGTGTACCTTTTGGATCTGCGCAGTACTTTTCTGCTGCCTAAAGTTGGCCACACACCTTACGATAATCGTGGGAAATCCCGCAATCGTACGATTATCGTAAGGTGTGTGGGGACGTGCGACCTCTGCTACTGTAAGGTCGCTCGACTTTTATCTTAGGAACATGTTCGAAAACCCGACGAGAATCGTACGATTTTGGGCGGGTGTGTGGCATGTACATAAGATAAAAGCCGGACGGGCCGGTGTGAGCAAGCGCACACTGCCCGTTCAGCATTGCGGTCATCGGAAAGCCTGCCCCTCGGGGGCGCGGCTTGCGATCATCGCAAGTATGATCTGCCTATCCGAGATAGGCAGATCGTACGATGGTTGTCTTGCGATGGTTTCAAGGTGTGTGCCCAGCTTTAGTGTACTGTAGGCAGTTCTTGAATTGTTGGTAGATAGCACAATCTTTGAGTATCCTTAATGCTATACAGATGTTCTGGCTTGTAGCTCGCTGTGACACACCCATCTTCACTATCTTAATCTGCAGATTTCTTCATAGTGAAAAAAAACAAGCCCAAACTAAAACATGGCTGTGCCAGCAAGGCTCTTTTTCCGGCTATACTCCTCTACCACTATGCCAAAATGATGTGAATGATTTAGTCACGTGAGCTAGTTCCCAACACTCAGTGTTCAGTCAGATATTTTTCATTTCCTCTATTGCCAGCGGACTAGTCCCAGTGCTAACAGACTTGAGTCTGCATTTTAATTTTTTCAGTTCTTCATGTTTATCTGGAGTTGGCAATTATATTTGTATGTTTTCTTCCTACAGTTCAGTAATGGCATTATTTAGTTATTACAGCGCTTTACATAGTGCTCATTCACATCAGTCCCTGCCCACTAGGCCACTGGCATATTCTGCATTACTTGACTTCACAGGCTGTGCACTTTCCTGGCATGTTTACTTTGGGTCAAGGTGACAATAAGCTTATTTCAGCTCTTCTCAGTCCAAATATCCATCAAGCTTTGCTGGACAAAGTATAGAAAGTTTAATCTGCTGTTGAACATTAGATTGACCATATTTTTCTACCCATGTTTTCATGAATCTTAAGTAGAAATGTAATACTGAAAAGAGTTCAGCTGTTTTGTTTGTTTACATTTGCATGAACAGCTTCAATGGAACTTGACCCATCTATGTAATATTGTACCTGTGCCTGGAATTCATGAGCTTGTCTAACACCGGTCTTGCGGTTTTATTGCTTTCTACTAGCTTGTGAAAAGGGTTGTTTGAAAATGTCAAGTTTCCAAGGGTGCTCCTTTAAGGCTGGATTGAGGAAATTATAGAAAAACAACTAGTGTTTCCCTACCCAAAACTTTTTTTGTTGTATTAGTGAACTGCCAGAACGCCTGGCATAGCTTTGTTTTTTACGGTGTTCCATTGGAGAAATTTGAAGCGCAGTTTAGCCAAATAAGCAACACTGTAATATGTTGCAGTTTTATTAGTCCTTTAGATGTGGCAAATTCAGATTTTATTTTTTTCCCCCTGCCGGCAAAACACTTCCTGTCCTAGGGTGACACCTTTTACTTATTCCACTGTATCTATGAAGGAACTGCATTGCCACCCTAGGCTGATGTCCTGGTTTGAACGAAAGATGCCTCCTCATCTCTATTACACAGGCAGAAGTTTTCCCCTAATGTCACTTTAAATCTTAATGCATTAAAGTTCCATAACTATTAACAAAAATGTATCTTTTTTAGGGCTGCAACCAACTGATTATTTGATAATAATCGATTAAGGGGAATAGTTGTCAACTAGTCTCATTGATTAGCTGGTTGGATCCCCTAGCTCTCTCTTCCATGCTGGGAGGAGGGCACAGCAAGCAGTGGGCGGGTGCCATAGCCAGCCTGCTATTGGCTATTGCAATGTGAAATGGCCAGTAGCAAGCTGGCTCTTGCACCAGCCCACTACCTGCTGTATTAACATTCAGCTGCTGTCTGCGGAATCTTGCCACTGGCAGCTGTCATTCCCTGGCTGAAACTATTAAAGCACCATGTACTTACAATACAATTAATAAAAGAAAAACAATTATAAAAGGTGGGGAAAAAAATCATTTTCGGTTTCGGCCTGACATATTCTGCTGCGGTATGTGCATTTGCAGTGGCATTCATTTCAATGGCACACCAAACGCACCTCCCATTCACAGTGTGATCGCCCACACTGGAACACACCGTACCGCAATGTCGTGCATTCCAGAGCAGTGCGATTGCAAAAAATTGTGCATGTAGTTTAATTCTGAAAACCTTGTAACACTGCATTTGTGTATTTTATTTTAAATTAAGGATAGTATTTAATTTTTATTCGATTATTCAAAAAAATAATCGGCCAACTAATCGATTTATGAAAATAATCATTGGTTGCAGCCCTAATCTCTTATGTGCCTCACTCAGCTGTAGATCCTCAACTCATCTTTGAATAGGTGCTGACACTGTCCTTCCTTCTGGAGGGGGGCTACTTATGTTCCCCATGGTCCCTGTGCGTTGTAAAGTAGTCACCGCTCCAAGCTCACGCCTGTGATGGACTACAAATCACACATTTAGTTTACTAATTTGTATTGGGATTATCACAGGCGTGAGCTTGCAGTGGTGGCTACTTTACAACACACAGGGACCATGGGGAACAAAAGTAGCCACCCTCCAGAAAGGACAGTGTCGGCAACCTTCAGAGATGATTTTGAGGATCTACAGCCAAGTTATACACAAATAAGATACAGTATTGTTGATAGTCAAGTTACTGAATGCATTTTTAAAATTTAACTCGAGTTTAGTGTCACTTTAAATTTTAATTCATGGGTTTAGATAAAGGGTGAACAAATTAATATTGACTTCTTCAGGAGCCAGCTTCATTAGTGCCTGCGTTCCGGTCCAGTGGGATCTGTAAAAATGCTGCATGCAGACAATGTTCGGGTGCCGTCGATCGCACTGCGGGCAGGGGGGCGTGGCTGTGGTGCCATTGACGCCCCTTCCTGCCCCAAAAGTGGAGAAAACTTGCATTCCAGTGTGTTCTAGAGGCCGAACGCTCTGGAACGCACTATGGTGTTAACCAGCCCTTAAGGATCATTTGGTACAATTAGAGAGGGTGGCTCTACCCAACTTGAACAAAAGTAGCTATAAAAACCTCACATGAGATTGTTGCTGCTCTTTTAATATACCAAAAATAAGAAACGAAAAATGGCTAGACATATATAGAGTTATTCACATAAGGGTGAAGAGTTTGGAGAAGGTAGAAGTGAACAATGTAGGAAAACATAGCTGATTTGGACAAAATTCTCCAATTCAGCTCACTTTCCAGTTCAGCTATGTTGTCCTGGCTTGTTCACTTCTCCTGCCTTCTCCAAACTCTTCACCCTTTTGTGAATCATTTTCGTTTGATTTGTGGTTTTGAGTGCTGCTCAGTGATTCTGCTTTGTTGCTCCTTCTCCTAATGCAGGTCTGCGAGTTAGCTGACTCTTTAGAAGCATTGCTGTTTAAATTGGGTTTGCTGCCTCTAGTGGCCATTCTACAAATCTCTATTTTCCAATGACAAAAAATATGTAGGAGTGAGTATACAACTATAGTGTATGTATATTCACTGAACAAAAATTACACTTTCCTTAAGGCAACTTAAATTAAATGGGATTTCTGACTTGTTGAAAAGCATTACTAGCTCATTGATTGCTTCCATGTCTTTTATGGAGTTGCTGTTAAAAATATTTTAAACATAGTACAACTAATTGTAAAGACTGTTTGTTTTTTTTTGTTTTTTTTATCTTGAAAAGCCAAATTAACTTTTTTAATGAAGACAATATATTCATAACATTTTAACTTTGTTTTTTTAATCTGTATTTTTTTTTTTTTTTTTAATCCTCTTAATAATTTCAATGGTTTTTGGACAGGATGATGCTCGTCAACTTTTTGTACTGGCTGGAGCGGCAGAAGAAGGCTTTATGACTGCCGAGCTGGCTGGAGTCATCAAACGCTTGTGGAAAGATGGTGGGGTACAGGCCTGCTTCAACAGATCAAGGGAATACCAGTTGAATGATTCTGCAGCATAGTGAGTATTCCTAAAAGCAAATGGCATTGGGACTTCAGGTGACTGTAAAATGTTGGGGCACAGTCTGACCAAATCATATTTAAAGACCACTCAAGGGCAGTGAATGTGGCTCATAATTTTCCAACCCAGCAAATCGATGTTATTTTCTGACTTGCTTGATATCAAGTTATAGTTGGGTTTCATGTGATGCATGTCAGTGCTTCTTCAGCTATGTTGGCCCTTGATGAAGACAGCATGTGGATCTGTAACTGTATCACATATGCATAAGTGAGGTGTGTATTTGTGTTCTGTAGAAAAGTATGTGTAAACGTAAAAATAAAAGACAATCAGTGGCCAGGATTTGTGTGGGTCTGTTTTACTGATATATTTACACACATACACTTTACTAACTTGTTGTAAATGTGTGCGAGTATGTTGGCTAAATGTGTGGAAATACCGATTGCCATGGCTACAGGTGTGTTTTTCCTGGCTCCCAACTTTTTCATCTGGCTCCAATATCTCTCAGAGATTTGTCCAGCCCTGGCCTAAACACAGTGCGTTAAACTTACTACATGGTATATTTGTAGCATCATCAAAACAAAAATATGATCATGCAAAAAACCATGACCATGAAGTCACTTGAAAGACCCAACTCTAAATATATTCAAAATGTATGTATTTATTGACTAGTACAAAAATATTCGAATAAATAGACCCTCATATTAAAAACATGACCCCCTTGTCTTCATACCGACACACATTCACACAGCACTTCCTAGCCCCTCCTAATTGGGTCTAAACATTAGAACCGGTTTCCGTGCTGATTTCAAAAGGGAGGCTTTGGGAGTTTTAATTGTGTTTTCAGCACTGAAACGCAATTAAACACCCACAAAACGGTCCTGATCGGCGCGGTTCCATTGAAAGCTGTATGGAAACTGCGCGGCAAAATAGTGCAGGGAGCAGTTCGGGAAGGGGGCGGTTCAGATCGCGCTGAACTGCGCGGTCGCATGAACGGTCTCCATATCAATGTATGGGATTGTTCATGTCGGCTGAACCGCCCGGTGTTAACGGGGCATTAGGGCAATAACTTGTTACAAACGTTGGTGTATTGATGTATCCAAAGTAAAAGTTTTTAAACAATGTAGTTGTTTCGCCACATGGTGTGACAGTGTCATAACATCAAATGACACTGCACAGGCTGTACAGCTGATTCACGTTTCTATCTCCATGTGTTACTCCAAAAAGCTTGTACATGGAGGCTTTCAGGTGAATTCACAATGTATTACGATATCAACAAAGTTCATAAAAAGAGCCCTTACCCGTCGGCGGGCATGAAATTGATTTTGCTCATGGTGATAGTTGATTGCAATCAGTTGTATGGCACCATGTTGCTTGCAGGAACGGTTTTCCATTGTTACATTTGTCCAGCAAGACTCCTGTTGGGGTCAAGTCTCGTGAAATTTCCACTAGGGATTTGATCAAACGACCATAGCTTTAATAGTTGAGCCACAGGAGGGCAGGTATGTGCCTTTGCATTGACTCCTTTCGCTCGTCCCACAGCGGGGCTTCATCAGAACACAAGGTGTGAGCATCATTAGCGTCCTTAAAAAGCCTTTACAAATCGTTTCTGCAATTAACCCTTTCTTTGATCCTAACCTCAAAATTCAAGTGTGCCATCACCATATTAAAATAATTTTCACCATGAGTGATAACTAAATTACTTTAAGTGTACAAGACGGGAAAGTTTCATCTTCTGCAATGCTTGTTCTGTGTATTGTTCTACAATATTTGTAGCATGCTTGTTTTGTTGGTCTGCCTTTGTTATGCTGCATGTTGCTGATGTAGGCCTCATAGCCAAATGTTTCAGCAATACCAGTAATTTTGTTGCCCCATAGCAACTATCTTATGCCCTCCACATCGGGTGGCAGGTTAATTAGTGAAAGGGAGATTGATGACTGTTGGTAACACATTAATTTCATTGTTTCATTACCTGTTGTATTGCTTATATGTTATATGCTGAATGTTTAACACAGTTTCCATTTTAATGCCCCATTAATCTCCTTAATATGTAAAGTGCTGATGGGTAGGACATTAAGGGTCGAATGTGGACCCTTGTGGTGATAGAGGGGCTCCTGATGCTCAAAGGAATCCTGTGTGGTGATGGATAAGGCTCTTTGTGTGCATATTGGTTCTGTGGTAATAGATGGGCCTCTAGTGCTCAGAGGTGTCCTGTGTGGTGATTATTAACCCTTAGTAAACCCTAATTAGTTTTAATTATTTTGCTGCACGGATACCAATGCTGAGCTTTTCTTGTCCTGCACTGATCCTAATTGTGGGTTTTGCTTTTGCGGACACCAATCCTGAGGGTATTGTGCTGCACTCACACTAGTATTGGGGGTTTATTCTTGCGGTCACTGGTGCAATTGTTGGGGATTGCTCAGACTTAACTGAATAACCTTGTTAAATCACTATTCTAGTTGGAATTTACTTACTAAATAGTCCTTATGATTTGAGAGTGGGAAATAGCCATTCACAATTTCCTACAAACCTTTTTCGGCAGACCTGGTTCAAATGGTTGCCTATTAGCTCAGATTATGATTTACTAATATTAACTGTGCAGTTGGTGTTAATTAAAAAGAAAAAAAAATCATAATCTCTGAGCTAATGTAAGAAAAACACTTTAGTGTAGCTGCTACATATAATTTCACCAAGTCAAAAGAAACTTGTTAACCAAGATAGTTTTATATATGACAAGTGCTACAGTGTTTAAAATCAATTAATCACCCATTCCGCCCACAATTGTAAAATACAATATATAAACAAATGTGAACAATAAATATGTACTCCAAATAGTCTTAACAAATCTTTGATTTGTTAATTAACCCATTCGCTGATAGCGCCCTATGCCTAGCGGCGCTGGTTGTCGGCCCCTGTAAACAGGCCACCTTGAGCCTGTTTACCTGTGTAAAGCAGACTGTCAGTTTTCCACTGGATGTGATTCTCAGGATTGGTGTCCGCAAAAGCGCCGGTAAACAAAGTTCCACTATGTGATATTAATTTAAAGTAATAGTAGTAACTAAACCCAGGAGTTGAATCTTAAAAATGCATTCAAGTACCATAACTAATAACAAAATTGTATCACTTAATGGTAAATCCTCAAATCATCTCTGAATTTATGCTGACACTTGTCGCTTGGTGATGAGGGAGCATGGAGCCTGCTTCCCGGACAATCGGAGAGGCGGGCGGCGAATCGTTGTGGCTTGTCAATATGTATTTCAGCAAATTTCAGTCTGGCTTTTTTTATGTTTGTCTTTCAACAGTGAAATCCCCCTGGATCTTCTTCCTTTGAGCTCACTGCATTCTGATGTACCTTGACTTGAAGTTCATCTTCTAGCTCATTGGAAGTTTTCCAGTGGCTCTTTGACTACCATTTATACCAGTGGTTCTCAACCTTTCTAGGGTCGGGACCCCTTGGTATCATTTGCCAAGTTTTGGTGACCCCCAACAGAGCACTGGACTCTGGACTTGGTGAGGCACTGGACTCTGGACTTGGTGAGGCACTGGACTCTGGACTTGGTGAGGCACTGGACTCTGGAATAAAAATAGAAGCACACTCACAAGAATACAAGCCTTCCCCAGCCCCTGCTACCTGGTTGCCTGCTCTGTCTCCATGCAGCCTTCTCAGCCCCAGCACTGCTAAGATGCCCGCCTCCTGCAGAGCCCGCACTGTATGGGAGGCAGGAAGACAGCTGTGAATATAAAAGTCCTACTGTAAACACTCCCCGGCCACTAGATGTCGCTGCAGCGGCCAGGGAGTGTGTACAGCAGCACTTTTATATTCACAGCCCTTGCTGTCCTCCCGCTGACTGACACTGCTGCGCAAGGAGGAGGCTCTCACCCAGCGCAGCAGAAATGGACGCGGCGACCCACTCAACAAAGGGTCGCGACCCACAAGTTGAGAGCCGCTGATTTATACTAGCCCTTTGTTCGATCTGGGATCTGTTTTATTTATCTAGGGATTTTTGCTATGGTCCCATGGACCTCGAAGCTCTTAATATTGGCAACTGTAGTCACAGGAACATCAAGCTGTTTGGAGATGGTCTTCTAGCCTTTTACCATTTACATGCTGGTCTACAGTTTTCTTTCTGACCCCCTCAGACAACTTTCTCCTTTGCTTTCTCTGGTCCACATTTAGTTTGCTACACACAATAATGCCAAACAGCAGAGTGACGCTGCTTTTTTTAATTTTTTTATTCCTACCCGTAATATGTACTAAAAACAATAATATATATATTGCCTTTTACAATTTGAATGAATGATTTCAGCAGATCTAAGTTCCCAGACAGAAGACATATGAATCCTCATTTTAAGGAAATGCACAAGATCCAATCCTAGATATAGCAGATTAACGAGTAGCTTTGCCATAGAGAATAATAACAGTCTGCCCAGTACATGTGCAGAGAGGCAGTATTGGGGACTTCCAGTATTCACTATGAGCCATTCTCTGTACTGTGCTTAGTGCATGTACTAGGTTCTATCCAGAAAAATCAGCACTCTGAGTAAAGGTTCTGCTGGCTCTGCATGTCAGGCATATTCATATATGTTTGCACATACTTTGTTATGGTCACAACTAGATGGAATGGTGGAAAAATAAAAAGATTTTGGTTACTTAAGAGACAATGATGTGTTTCCTCTCTGATATATCTTGATATTGATCACCTGTCTAGCATACAATTGAACTTGAGAAAGAGTAGGGACACCCTAAAGTGTTTCTGGAAAGTGTGTTTATGTATGTATACAGGGCCGGATTTACTCCCCCTGCCGCCCCAAGGCCAGGTTCCACAATACGCCCCCCCTCCCCATCAATTGAAAATGGCAACCAGATGGCAGGGTGGGGGGGTGTATTGTGGAACCTGGCCTTGGGGCGG